ATCTACATAAGTCACATCTAAAAACATTTAAATTTGTACACATTTTCTGCCATGTGTCCATTAAGATTTTTTAATATTTTTTTAGTTAATATAAATATTAATAATCAATTGTTTAATGTTAAACTAATTGTTGAAGCAGTTTTTAAAATTAAAGTGTTTCAGTACCGAGAAAATGCATTGTCTGACATTTTTAAGTGAATGCCAAGTATGGTAATAGTTTATTATTATTATTATTAATATTAAACATATGTATATGTAACATACATATGTCATATTGTTTTATCTACATAAGTCACATCTAAAAACATTTAAATTTGTACACATTTTTTTCCATGTGTCCATTCAGATTTTTAAATATTTTTTTAGTTAATATTAATAATAATAATCAATTGTTTAATGTTAAACTAATTGTCGAGGCATTTTTTAAAATTAAAGTGTTTCAGTACCGAGAAAATGCATTGTCTGACATTTTTAAGTGAATGCCAAATTTAGCTGCTTATTTCGAGCAGAGTTACTTATCGATATTTAAGTTTTAAGAGAAAGATTTTCCCAAAGATCCCTAAGTTTTAAGGAAATCCAAAAAATTTAAATTCAGTTATATATTATATATATTTCTATGAAATTCTGCTTTGAATACATATTTACCGAGGAGGTATTGAGAACTATATGGATAAAAAACCAATATAGTTTATCGGAAAACTTTTTTTCTAAATGTTACATACTTTTAAACGAATACTTTTTACCTTTATTTTTTGCGAAAATCGAAAAATCGAAAAAAAGAACCGAAAACAGTAAAACTAAGAAATCTTACATCAAAAAAGTATTCGTTTTTTGTATTTGGCAGTAAATATAAAGAGTTTTTTGGTTATAGCATTTTGGTTGTAAGCCGTTGGTTTCCTTAATAATTTCCTATTAGACCATTCCTCAAGTAATTCCTTTTAGAGATAAATAATCCACGAAATCGTATATTCTCGGAATTTGAGCTTAAGGTGGACTTTAAGATGTGGTTGACGACAGGGCTTTTCGGATGCCGTATGTTTTGGGTAATTTTTTTTTTTAATGAAGTCACATTATAGACCCAATTTAGCAGCACTTGAGTATACAGTGGCTCCAAGCTTATTTTGTGCAAGAATAAATCAAAGTTTAAATTTGATACTGCTAAACCAGCAGAGATATCAACAAAAGTTAAACGCAGTAATGTAAAGAATGTCGCATATTATTAAAATAATAACAAAAGTTTTAACTAATTTAAAAAACAAAAGAAATTTTTTATACAAAAACTAAAAAATAGGGCCATTCTGACGCACAAGCTTATTTCTTGCAAGCACTTTAATGAAAGTTGAGATTAAGCGTGAAGATTCTTGAGGTCCCGGGACAGCGCAAGCATCCTGGCACGCCCACTCTAAAGCCCACAAATAGCGAAAAACTAAAATCGCTAAAATTTTGGGAACTATTTGAGCTAGAAAGTTGAAATTCAGTATGTATAAACTTTGGATGCCAGCGCATCTTTTAGTGGTACTATTATCTGGCCACAACCACCCATACGCCCACCAAGCTCAAAAGTCGGTTTTTACATTTTCAAGAAAACCTGATATCTCGGTAACTATAAGTGATAGAAAGTTCGGATTAAACATGTAGATTTTTATGATGCCCCAAATGCGAATTGTTTTTTTCCATCTAGCCACGCCCACCCTAACGCCCACAAAACCCTAAAAACCCAAAAAGGCAAAAATCTCGGGAACTAAAAGAGCTAGAAAGTTAGGCTTAAGAATACGTATTTTAGGGATGCCACTGCAACTTCCCACGAGTATTTATCCGGCCACGCCCACTCTAACGCCTACAAACCGCTGAGCACTGTGGCGTCCATAATGATACTATGAATGCCTTCGTTTAACGTTGTATAAATTATTTCTGTTTATATCTATCGATTCACCAAGGATTTTTCAAATCGGATAATTATTTCGCTACTTATGAAGAAATTTAGGTTATAAGGCCTCACATGGGCAGTGACATCACTATCAGTTACTCGACATGCTTTCTCCGACAATAGGTGGCGCTTGGGTAATTTCCACTAGGAAAATGAATATTTTAAAATTGTGTAAAACAGTAACGGGTATCTTACAGTCGCGGCACTCGACTATAGCGTTTCCTCTTGTTATATATTCAGTTATTTACAGGGTTTTCATTCTTTCGTCACTAAATATTACTTGTCCCAGTACTCAAACTTTTAGTCTTAGTAGGTACAGTCGGCACATAATTTATTCGAACACCTATGAGTTGCATTTCGAGCATACATATATTTTAAACATAAAATTAACAAGTTTTAGCTTAAATACTAGATAATTTTCTTAACAACGCAAAAAAGTCATTTTTTTAGGCACAAAAATTATTCGTACACTTCATAAAAAGTTGAAAAAAACAATTCCTAAGATTTAAGGATTTTAATCTTTAGTGGGACCTTCGTTGGCCTTAATGGAAGCTTGTAAAAGTTGACACGTGCCTTTTATAAAGTTGCTCGTCTCGTCAGCATCAATTAAATCCCATTCATACATTCTTGCCAACGTGCGTAAAAGTTGGAATCAAGTTTTTTCCTTCATGGCTTCATTTGCCTTTTGACATAATTTAAAAGAACCGCCGTGGCCAAAATTTTTAATTGTTGATTTGTCAATAAATATAACGTTTTCCCAAAATAACTCCGGCTTATTTACATGCACTTTTGCGATCTCCAAACCCATTTTTTGTTATAATCAGAAATCAATGGGTTTTTACGAACAACTCTACCATGTATACCAACATTGTGCAGTTTTGGGTACAAAATTTTTCTGAAGGCTTCTCTTTGGTTTTAAGAATTGTTGTAGATATTATTCTGGGATTCTGTAATGCCATATTTACAACTTTATGCTCCTCCCGTGGTGTCAATATGTGGTTCCTTCCAGAATTTCAATGTTTTACTGAAAATTCTCCAGTGCTTACCTACTTTTTTTTTTATCACACTTTGCTTTGTGGAAGGTGACTTGACAATATTTCTACCAATTTCGGGTTAATTGCTGTTCGCTAAATATAATTTTATTATAGTTTTTCGAAAACTTTGGGATACTTCTTGAACCCAACCCATTTCGTCCAATTACACCAAAAAAAAGCATCGAAACTAACTAAACAACTTTGAGAATAGTACACCGAAGCTTGCTCCGAAGTACAGTTCAAAAATAGAAGTCAAGAATGAGAAGTGTACGAATAATTTTTGTGCGTAAAATATGACTTTTTATTCGTTATTAGAGAAATTATCTAGTATTTAAGTTAAAACTTGTTAATTTTATGTTTAAAATGTATGCTCGAAATGTATATCTTTCTTTTGATATATTACATTTTAATTTCCGTTACGTATTTCTCGAGATATTAGGGAATAAACTTCCAACTCATGGGTGAACGAATAAATTATGTGGCGACTGTATTAGAAAAGGAAAGACACCTTGATATGTTACGGTTGAAACGGTTACGGTTATTGCAACTCTATCGTGCAAACTATGTCTTATAAGGACATAATGTTTTTTGTGGAAACATTAGGTGCAGATCGAGATGACTGTGTTAATTCTTGAAGCCGATAAGTGGTTTTTCCTATTTCCTTCCAGGATTTTTCTCTCTTCTCTGATGGTCAATGATTTTGGACGGCCAGAACTAGGAAGATTTTCAAAGGAATTCCTTGATTAAAATAAATCTATATAGTTGAAGAACTTCTTACATGTCCGTCTGACTGTTCGTCCGTCCGTATAGACGCTGACATCTTAGGAACTGTAAGAGATACAAAGTTGAGATTAAACATGAACATTCTTGGGGTCCCTGCGCAGCATGGTTAAAGTTCACCATTTATAAATCATTTATTACATATTAGTAGACAAAATAGGTATCTTTTGAGATGTATACCGATATTACCAATTTTTAAATTGAAAACCATCTTCGCAACGAAACTTTAATGACCAACTGTAAGGCAATGCGGTACGATTCGGAAAAAGGAAACCATTGATTTCATACAAACGGACCTAGACTGAAATTGTAGACTTTGTTATTGAAATATTTACTCTAAAATGGGTATAGAAAGCCAAAAAATAATACTCAAACGGGAAAATAGCCTAGGGTTTGGAATGTCAAAATGTTGTTATAATATTAAACATATGTATATGTAACATACATATGTCATATTGTTTTATCTACATAAGTCACATCTAAAAACATTTAAATTTGTACCCATTTTCTTCCATGTGTCCATTAAGATTTTTTAATATTTTTTTAGTTAATAATAATAATAATAATCAATTGTTTAATGTTAAACTAATTGTCGAAACATTTTTTAAAATTGAAGTGTTTCAGTATCGAGAAAATGCATTGTCCGACATTTTTAAGTGAATGCCAAATTTAGCTGCTTATTTCGAGCAGAGTTACTTATCGATTTTTAAGTTTTAAGAGAAAGATTTTCCCAAAGATCCCTAAGTTTTAAGGAAATCCAAAAAATTTAAATTCAGTTATATATTATATATATTTTTATGAAATTTTTCTTTGAATACATATTTACCGAGGAGGTAGGTATTGAGAACTATATCGATCAAAAACCAATATAGTTTATCGGAAAACTTTTTTTCTAAATGTTACATACTTTTAAACGAATACTTGTTACCTTTATTTCTTGCGAGAATCGGGCATAACAAAAACAGACAAATGTGTTCCAGGTAATACTAACAAAGAAGGATTTAGGATATGTGTATAAGCAATACATTTTTAAATATTGTAACATTTTTAAAATTTTTATATTTGTTGATATTAGATTATATTAGGTTATGTATATCCATATAAAACGCATATAAGGAATGTGTGTCGGTGCGGTCGAATAAACAAGAATAGAAACTATCGGTGTATCTATAAACTAACCTATATAACCTATAACAAAACAAATTGTATAAAATATGCATTCTAATTGGTATCCTTTTTTACTTTGATGCTCTCCACAGATGGAATAACAGGATACAAAGACGAGACGTAAAATTTGCAATAGAACAAGGAGCATGTATCCAAAAACTTTTAAAGCTAAAGTGATAGTAAAGCTATTTTAACGACAACCACCAAAATTTTGAGTTTTTATCTTTCTCAGAATAAGACTGCCTTAAATACAGTTTCTTCTTAAAAGAAGTATCAGAATGCTCAGACCACCTCAAACTCAAGGTTTCAATAAATAATAAGTGGTTAGCTCATTTTAATCCTAATTTGACTTACACTGATAATAAACGAACACTGCGACATACATATTCGATTATGCCGAAAGATCCCATCGTTACATATTTAACAGTTTCTTTCAGAAATTGTGTTGTGTTCATATTGTGTTGCTTTGCGTTGAATTTCTTCAAACTTTCCCTGCTCTCAAACTTCCCCATTTATTGCGTGTTGTCATCTCTTTTGACCTTAGAACAATTTGTCGAAATTCCGAACGTTTACCACTAACTCTTTACTCGCAAAGTTAAAAGGTACAATGCATTAGTTGAAAAATATCTAACATGTGGAAAGAAGCGTTTCCGACCCTATAAATTATAAACATTCTTGATCTGGATCAATAGCAGTCGATTTAGCCATGGGTGTCCATATGAACGCTGAGAACTCTGGAATTAGAAAAAAGAAGAAGAATATAAGATATCCGTTACAGTTTTATAAAATTTTAAAATATTCATTTTGCTAGTGGAAATTCACAAACCGCCACCTTTTTTCAGAAAAACCATGTTTATAGCCTATATTTCTCAATAAATATCGAAATAATGTTAAAAAACTTTTGTAAATCAATAGATATTTAAGTAGGAAATTATACAAGGTCAAACGAAGATACACATTTTAATATAATGGACGCCACAGTTTCCCACGGTTTGTGGATGTTACAGTGGACGGGGTCGGATAATAAATCATGTATCTAAAATACGTATGCCTAAGAGTAACTTTCTAGCTCCTGCAGTTCCCGAGATTTTCGCATTTTCGATTTTCCGCGTTTTACAAACGTGGCTACATGGGGAAAAAATAATTCATATTGGGGGTATCATAAAGAACTACATGCTTAATCTCAAATTTCTATCACTTATTGGACCTTCTAGAAAAAGCGAGAACTGCCTTTCAGGCTTGGTGGGTGAAGACTAAATAGATAAGCCATAATCATACTTTAATAATTAATAATTATTTAATATTTCTCCAACCATTTCACAGATGAGGAAGGTTTTTCGTAATTTGTGGCGTTAGAGTTGGCGTGGAAAGATGGTGGTGGTGTCACTTCAAGAATCTGCTTGCTCACTTTCAACATATGGTATTTAGCATGCAGTTTTCAATGTTCTCTTCTAACACCCACGAAACGCAAAACACTAAAAACGCTAAAATTTCGGAAATTATATGAGCAAAAATATTAGGATTAAACATACGTATTTTAGAAATGCCCCCTCATGCACAAATCTCGTGAAATTGGTGACCCTAATATTTCCAATTTAGTTTTGGTTTGAACTTCTATAACATGTTTTTTTAAACTTATCGGTTTATAAGTCCTCACAAGGGCATTGATTAATTATTACTATATTGATTTTGAAATTGAATAACGCAATAACGTTAGCGTATAGCGTTTCTTCTTGTTTTTAAATAAACTTGCGACTCCAGAATCTGTATATTTAATCCAAACTTTCGTTCAAAATTACCGAGATACCAGGAATATACACGGACATACGGTCATGGCTAAATCGGCTCATCTCTTGATCCTAATCAAGAATTTTGATTTTTTTATATGCATATATACGTTATAGGTTCGGAAACTCTTCTTAATAGTTAACAAAAACAAAAGCCTTTTATTTTACAAGTATCTAATAACACGGTTACAGCCTGGCTTTTATGATTTAAACTACAAGTATATTTGCCACGCTGTTCAAAAACTGATTAGTTGCAGGAAAGTGATTCCCGCCTTTTACTGCTTCTGCAATTGTTCTCTAGAACGCCATCGCAAACAGAAACATTCTGTTATTGCTTACTAGAATGTTTGGCCACCCGCTTACCGTTGAGACAGCCCAGCCTTGACACCGTTATCAAGAAGACTTCTATAATTGAGTTCAAGACATGCTCTTAAAAATCTATCTATATATTTATATCAAAATGAATGTAACCATGTATGTATAATCGTAAACGATAGACCGATTTTAATGACATTTTTTGTAAGTGCCTAAAGGGGCTCCGAGTGTGTTTAGAATCATAAACGAGGAAAATTCGTAAAAATTGGAAAATTGATATGCAAGCCAAAGTTGGCAGCTCTCATCAGGTGTTCTATTAGGTGATGGCAACACTGCATTTTTATAGTAGGCAGCTCTACCTCTTAACAACTGAGAGATTATGTACTCGTATGTGGCAACTCTAGAAATTAAGCTGGCTAAAACAGTTAAATTTGAAATTTTGTTGTTTTTTTTTTAAAGGTTTATTTTTATGTAATTTACGTAAGAATTTAAGTAAATTATGAAATTTATGTCTTCTATTTACACCAAACGTGTATACCAGGCATTGATTTTAGTTGATGACATATCCTTGGCAATCGCTAACAAGACACTGGTGCAATTGGAAATGCCTGTTCCAAACCGACCAACAAATGACCTGCTCTATTGTAAATTGCAACGAAAAAGAAACTTTGATTCTCAGGCATAGAATTGACAGAATTGTGCGTGGAAATTATTATATAGGTCGAATCCACAGTGTCTCACAAGAAAGCATTGGACGCGCTTGATCATACACTGCGAGATATAAAAGGAAACTGTGAAACACCTGCTGATCAATTTAATGCACGTCTCAAATCGTCCATTTTATGGCGTCTGTTACACAAATTGACTTTGAAAACCAACATGCGTTTAAAACTACAACTTGATGCATCAGCTGAAATATTTGCAAAACAATTAATGGATATTGGAAATGAGCGAAAGCAAATTGATGAATCTTCGCAATCTATCACCTTGCCAATAAACTTCTGTATGATCACAGAAAGCTTATACGAATTGGTGCTAAAAGTTTTTCCAAACAAAAAGAATTACAAAAATCATCAGTGGTTCAGTACACGTGTTATATTGGAGGGCAAAAACATTGATGTCACCATTAGAGAATGGCAAGGGTACACCCAGACAATGAGTGCACTCGAATCATGTGTGCCTTTTCGGCAGTCAGAGTGTGATCGGCACCCTAAAATAAGGGTGTGTGTCTTGCACAAGCTCATTTCGAATGTGGACTTGCGAGTACTTTTTTGCACAGACACCCGACACACTCATAGCAAATGAAGGGAGTGTCTAAGACACCCATGTTTTTGGGATGAGTGAGTCGGGTGTCTTCGGTGTCTTGAAGACACCCGAAACACTCGAATAAGTTGAAGACACCCGAAACACACTCGGGTGCCGAAAAAAAATTCCCTTGACGTTCTCTGGTCACCACCATCAACATCATTATTCTGAATGAAATACCTGGCGAAATGACAACATATAAATCCATCGATACGGTGATGAATCAGGACGAAGTTGTCAACTATCCAACTGAATTCTCGATTTGCTAGGCTTGCCGCACGATATATTGAATATATGCGTACCCATCATTCTCCTTCGGAATATAAATCCGCCTATACTTAGCAATGGAATCAGGCTCCTCATTAAGAAACTGATGAACAATTTTATCGAAATACGATTTTAACTGGAAAATTCAAACGTGAAGACGTACTGTTGACGCGTATCCCAATGATTCCAAGCACAAGGACAATCATTGCAAGTGTGCGGACTAAATTTGGAGAATCCTTGCTTCTCACATGGACAGTTCTTAGTGGCCTGCTCACGCGTCGGAAAATATTCAGATCTATTCGTTAACGCACCTGATGGAAAAACAAGAAACATTGTACAATAAGAAAAACAACGATTCAATAAATGGTAAATAGAAACCTAAACGAAAATTATTTTATTTTTTTTTTGCCTGCGCATGGTTCATAAGCATTAGAAGACTGTCAAGCTTGAGAAGCTTAAGGCAACATCCTGATACAGACAGTTGGGGACATGATATGATATGAAGGAGAAACACTGCTATGCTGTTTTTTTTAATTGTTTTATGAAATTAAATTTCATGCGAATTTCTGATTAAAGTTTTATTATTTTAATAAGATTATGTAAATTGACTAATTGATTGTATTCGGTGAACAGTGTGTCAACAGATAAAAGTAAGCGTCTCCGATCCTATAAAATATTTTTATTCTCGATCTTTTTTTTTGTAGTATTATTTATATATATTTATAATAAAGATTTTGAAATAATGCCTTCAGCTAGGGTGACAACGAAGAGAAATTTAGGTGAATAATAACTTATAGATCTTATATATTATTGATCTTATATATATTGATTGATTGGGACCCATGTGAGTTTAATTTAAGGGAAATGGTTAGTAAAATGCTTTCTAATGGTAGACAAGATGCCGAACTTTTTTGTTGTACTTACATCAGCTTTACTTCGTTTTTATACGGTTTTTAATTGGTAAGATGGGCAGGTGACATTTTTTTTTACATATATTTGAGTATTGTCATCGTAACGGACTTTTTGTTGCCGAAGAGAAGTGATTCCCTGCAGTATAATTGAAAGCCAGAAATCTGCTCATTATCCGTCTGCGATTTCCTGTTGAGTGACGGAGACAGCGAAGACGATTGCACATAGCCTGGAGAATGCATCTGCGACTCTGATGGCAGATCCTTTGACGAGAAAGATTTCGGCTGCTTAAGTGCGGCTTGAATCGCGACATCAGATGGATCTTATATCACGGCCAGCTCAGAAGTTGGGCAATTTCGCAACTGTGTCCATTAAACCTGGCCCTGGACGTTTTCCTTGACGTTTCTCAGGAGTTCTTAATGTAGTACCTGGATGTCTGAGGAACACGGGGTAGGTATTCGGTTGTAGGTGATGATGCTGATGTATCGTCCGAGATCGCTGATTGTACAGGGCTCGCATTATTTATAATGGCTTCTGCTCGATGGCGTGAAAGTTAGATTACGTACTCATTGATGATGTAGCCGAAAAACTGCATCCTGTCAGGCCCAGTTGACACTTGCTGAGATTGATGCAAAGTCCATGTCTGTGCAGGATCTCCAAGGCGTTTCGAAGATGTTTCTACTGTTTCTTAATTGTATTTACCGTCTATGAGGCATTAACGAAATCGACGTCACGAAAAATACTGTCGACGAATCTTTGGGCATGTGAAGGAAATCCATTTGGAAAAATGGGGTGTAAGCGGCAGTTTTTGAGATGCCACACTCAGTCATTAAGAAATGATAGTTAGCTTTTACCAGATCGAGATCGAGTGTAGAAAATATTTTTTTTTGTAACTGCTCAGAGAGATAGTGGATGTTATAAATTGGGTAGTGATGAGGTACTATTACCACCACCATATGTAATGGTTATTTAATTAAGAAGATTATCTCTGTCTTCGCGTTGATGAGTTTAGACAGGCAGCGTTGGCCACATACAGTATGAGATCGCATTATTTAACGATTTCCTAAGCTCGTCAGAGCCGACTTAAAAATTCAATCGGTAATGTGAAGTCGAATTTTTGATAGTGTTCGATGGACTAGATGTTCGCCATTGAATGCTTGGCTGCCACCTTCCAGTCCTGAAGACGACAACTGCATTAGTTAAACTGAGGTGCAGAGGACCGCAGCTACTGTGGTAAATGCACCTACTGTTGCAGGTGCTGAGACTGGGAACTAGAATCGTTCGTTGCTAAGACAATGCGATTGAGCTCACTTAAGATTGTGTCAACCTTTTTGGCGAATTCGTAGAGATAATGTAACACTCTTGAGTTAGTCACCTCGGCGAGAAACTGTCCGGATTCGTTTTTGACTGGTTTTTTTTTCACTCTGGCTCAAGCTCGATCTTGAAGAGTGGCTGCGTTTTTTTGTCCTATGTTAAAGATATTTTTGACGGGAAAATTCTTTTGCTTAGAGCCACTGCTATGTCATCGGTCAGAACATCTGGTTCAATGACTTTTGGTACAGCCTTCTGTACATTTAAGCTGGTATGAGTAATAATTTCATTTTTGTCTATCAAGATATTTCGAAACAGCCAAAAAGTACTCTTCCGATTTTTTTAGAACGTGTATCTCCGAAATGTCCCCCTTTGTAAGCGGAACAACGTAAAAGTTGTCTTTACCGACCAACTCTGCAATCTTATTGACAAGTGTATTTTAGATTTTCTCTTTCAAATAAATTGGTGGTGTCTTTGGTTTATTTTGGGTAACCTGCTCATCTCCTAGAAGGGCATATCTGTTGCTGCCGTTTTGATAATTTGAAGCCCCGTTTACGACGATTTTTTTTTCGTTAGTTTCTGGCCTTTACGTGTTGCGGGCTCAATTTACTTTTTTCTTTCGCTTGCGTACATGTTTGCGAGAGCTCGGGAGAGTTAGAATGCGCTCTTTTCGGTCACACTGCGAGTCCAATCGATGAGGTGTTGTTGTTTTCAGTAGTTGATTTTATTGTATAGTAGGCATTATATAAGTAAATAAAGATATGGGGTGGTATATTATATTATAATCGGTTATACCTCGCTGCAGTCAGTGGTGTCGCAGATGCTAGAGAGATGTCGTCCCTGGCGGTTGCCGAAGGGTTGCTTCTCCTTGTAGGCAGTGAGCGATGTTTGGGTCCCTGGCGGTTGCCGAGGGAAATTCCTTCTACGACGGGAATTACGATGGGAGCACTTGCTCCGTTATCACGGCCTTTGGGGCACGGTGACCAATTCAATAAAATGAATTTACTATTTAACGGCTATGCCGGAGATTTGATTTAAAGTGCTCTTTATTGTTTGAGACTCTGACAAAAAATGAAACTTAAAGCTAACAAAATGTATTTCATAGCGGCCACGCAAATGTGCAGTGCTCGCCGCTATGTATGGGCATCCGGCCAGACGCTGTGTCAGCAGTTAAATAATCGGTCATTGCCGCTGCTCGGTTAACTTCAGTTAACTACTCCCCCTACAAGAATGAGGCCGCCCTCGGCCGACCCTATTTGGGCTATCATCTCCTTTAGTTGGGCCGCGGTTCTTAGGGCCTGAGTGACTCGCCGATAGGTCAAGCCGATGCAAATTAAAGCGCAGCTCCCGCTATGAACAACAACTGATATAACTGATGGTGGTTGATCTTCTTCCCGAACTCCTTAATATGTTCCAGGTTACGTTCACTCAACTGCTGAAGGTAAGGAAGACTAAGAACGTTCCGTTCCCTAGTGACGTTCAGGGAAGGTGAGCTGGCCACTCCTGGAGCCCTCTTCTGGGCTGTGTCATGATTGACCAATCGGGTTTCATTGACAATGGCACTCTTTTCAAAGGTGACGAGATATGTGCCCCTTATATGGACACAGGTGCCATTATCCACACACACGCGAGCCGAGCGATCATTTACAATTACTATCTCCTCATCAACGTAAGTGATGGAGTGTAAATCGCTTTGTTGGATCTCGTAATGCGCCTCCAGCGTGAAGCTCTTGGGCGCATGATCTTCTGCGAGCCAGCCGGCAAAATGTAGCTCCTGATGTCGGAGAGCACTTTTCCACGGTGTGGATCTCACCGTCGCATTCGGCAATGACGTTGCCTTCCAGCATGAGTATGGTGTCGTGATGTGACACCGGGAAAACGGTGATCTTGCTGCAGGCCGACTTTATTTTCGGAAACTTAATGATAAAATGTAAGATGTTATCGGACTGTAAAATTTTAACGGACGATACGGACAAAACATCTCTAATCGCGGTCTCGGTGGGCTCTTCCATCCACACACCTTCTAGGTCTGCATGATCCAGGATGCTGGGGCTAACAACATTAACCTTGGCAAGTGCCACTGCTAGCATCAAACCCTGCAGCTCCATTGCTATCATCCTATTCCGGGTTAAAAGCATCTCGAATAGGTGCTCAGTATTAATTTGGGATTTTTTTGCTGACCTCAGAAGTTGGTTAACAGTAGCGGAAATTTTATTGATTTGAATTTGTACTTTATTGTTAATATTAACCTGCCTATTGTTTGCATTTATTACTTGGAATTCTTTAAATTTAATTTTTGTCAAAGTCCTCTGCGTCCGGCGTTTCTGACACTACTTTTAACGCGGTCCCTAAGAAGTCTAAGCTTCTTGCTACCCTATGATGGATGCTCAACGAGTCGAGCAGGTCGCGTAGGTGGGCGAC